ACTAAGAGTTAGGTTGGCGAGGTGCTATGTGCTTTCGACTTTATTTTATGGAATGGACCTTGAATGCAACATCAATTAAAAACTGGAATCATTCGAGCTGTGGGTGTATAGAAGAATTCTATACACCCACAGCTCGAATGATTCCAGTGAAAAAAAAAAAAAATGGGTATATTTATTTAAAAAACCCTTAAAAGGGCCACATCAATAAAACAAACGTTTTCGGACTACACAGTCCATCATCAAGTTATTAAAATCGAAAATGCCTAAAAATAAGTATAAACCATTTAGTTAAAACAAACGAGATTTTGAAATTTTGACTATGGTTGAAAAGCAAAAGATGGTTATACTTACTAGGTCATAATGCCTGAGCCACCAAAATATTAGGGTAAAAACCCTTTAAATTACATTTAGTTATGAAATGTTGTACATTGTGTTATAAAATAACTGTGATGTTCTATATTAAATTAAATTTGACTAAAGGTAACACATGGCTCAATTGGGTTCCAGAGCCGGGTGAGAGAGAACCTCTGCACTCGGAGAACAACGTGGAACTGATTGACAAGATACTTTTGAAGGATGAAGATAACAGAATGTCAATGCAACAAAAACTATAAAAGTTGTACATAGTATTACTACAGCCAAAAGATTCAACAAGTTTTGATGATTTTAAAAATAACAACAATCTAGGTGTTGGGATTTAAAAACTTTTTATTTATTAATTTAGGGTATAAAAGATGTCAAATCAATGATGGTTTTATAGTCATGATTAATATAATGACCTGTGCCTTAGGCAACTTATGTTGCTTTTCGTCGTATGGAATGTGGTCTAAAGTGTATTTAATTTTGGGTTAGCTTGTATTTATGAAATTTATCCTTTTATGTTTAACACATCTAGGACAAGGTAAAAAATAAAATAACAAATATTTGAAGCTAATATCAGACCTCATGTTTAAATGACTTTATTTAGGAATGCTCCTATGGTGAAAAAATTAATAAAATTAAGTTTAGTAAGATGGAAATCTACAGGCTGAAGAAATTGAAGTAGTAACATATGTGATTGAATTTAAAATCGAAGAGACTGGGTTCCTCAGAGACTAATGAGCATGAAAGTAAAAGAAATGAAAGGAGGGGGGGGGTTGAAGGAGGAAAGGAGTTGATCAACAATTAGAGATAATAGGGGTCCTTTATACTTAAAGTATCTAGCACCCTGAACAAAATCTATTTAGGTGGTATTAAATTCAGTTTGTAGAAACCTGAAATTTGTTGTATAAGTGTGCTACTAAGTTGTTGACCGAAAGAAGGTGGACAAAGGTAGATTAGGATTCTATGTAATATGGTAGATTATGAATTTTAATAAATTGTTAGATAATGTTTAAGTGATTACTAAATTAAAACTATTGGATACATGTTTAATATATGAATTGACCAAGAAATAATGAAAGAGAACAGAATTAACAGGAAAACGATGTAGGAGTGAAGAGTGAAGTGAGTGAAGAGATAAGATAGTGAAATGTTGGTATGGTGGATGTGGATGGTTCTGAAGTTAAAATTGGGGTCAGAAATTTGTGAGAGGAAGGTGTGACGATATTGTATAAAAAGGGGTGTTTGAAGAACCACAAGATTATGTAGGAATAAGGTGTTGACGTTTGTATAGGAAAATAAGGCAGAGAAAATAGGACAGTATTGTGAAGTGTGGACTATGAAAAAAGTTGACGATGTAAAGGTTGAAAGTCACGGTTGAAAGATACATGGCGATTAACACAATTGGGGCTTTTTTGTTTTTCTTTGTCTATTTCCAAGTCTTCATAAAGATCTAATTTTAGAAAATTTTTTTGGGGAATATTATGTAACAAAGAGACGTCTTCTGGGATGTTGAGGGTATGTTTATGTTGTGCAAGATGTTGAGAGAAGGTGGAAGTGTTCTCTTTTTTAGTGTGTTCTAAGGAACGAGAAGTTAGTGATCTACAGGTTCTACCTATATATGTAGCATCACAATCAGAGCACTGTAATTTATAAACACCACTACGATCCATGTAGTTGATGGGATCTTTTGTATTGGTTAAGCATTGTCCTAAATTGTTCGGGACTTTGAAAGAAATGTGGGTATTCTCAACAGATCTTTTTAGGATGTATCTAAGATCTCCAGAAAGACGTTCTTGAAGGTAAGGCAAAGAAAAATACTGAGTTTTGATGGTCAAGTCTCTGGGAAACGCAGTCTCTCTCAATAGTTTGAGTTGTCTCTTATTTATAAGTTTGTTAATGATGTTGGGGTCATATCCATTATTGAATGCTATTTGTTTAAGGGTGTTAAACAGTGTACAGTGCTCTGATTGTGATGCTACATATATAGGTAGAACCTGTAGATCACTAACTTCTCGTTCCTTAGAACACACTAAAAAAGAGAACACTTCCACCTTCTTTCAACATCTTGCACAACATAAACATACCCTCAACATCCTAGAAGACGTCTCTTTGTTACATAATATTCCCCAAAAAAATTTTCTAAAATTAGATCTTTATGAAGACTTGGAAATACTCAAAGAAAAACAAAAAAGCCCCAATTGTGTTAATCGCCATGTATCTTTCAACCGTGACTTTCAACCTTTACATCGTCAACTTTTTTCATAGTCCACACTTCACAATACTGTCCTATTTTCTCTGCCTTATTTTCCTATACAAACGTCAACACCTTATTGCTACATAATCTTGTGGTTCTTCAAACACCCCCTTTTTATACAATATCGTCACACCTTCCTCTCACAAATTTCTGACCCCAATTTTAACTTCAGAACCATCCACATCCACCATACCAACATTTCACTATCTTATCTCTTCACTCACTTCACTCTTCACTCCTACATCGTTTCCTGTTAATTCTGTTCTCTTTCATTATTTCTTGGTCAATTCATATATTAAACATGTATCCAATAGTTTTAATTTAGTAATCACTTAAACATTATCTAACAATTTATTAAAATTCATAATCTACCATATTACATAGAATCCTAATCTACCTTTGTCCACCTTCTTTCGGTCAACAACTTAGTAGCACACTTATACAACAAATTTCAGGTTTCTACAAACTGAATTTAATACCACCTAAATAGATTTTGTTCAGGGTGCTAGATACTTTAAGTATAAAGGACCCCTATTATCTCTAATTGTTGATCAACTCCTTTCCTCCTTCAACCCCCCCCCTCCTTTCATTTCTTTTACTTTCATGCTCATTAGTCTCTGAGGAACCCAGTCTCTTCGATTTTAAATTCAATCACATATGTTACTACTTCAATTTCTTCAGCCTGTAGATTTCCATCTTACTAAACTTAATTTTATTAATTTTTTCACCATAGGAGCATTCCTAAATAAAGTCATTTAAACATGAGGTCTGATATTAGCTTCAAATATTTGTTATTTTATTTTTTACCTTGTCCTAGATGTGTTAAACATAAAAGGATAAATTTCATAAATACAAGCTAACCCAAAATTAAATACACTTTAGACCACATTCCATACGACGAAAAGCAACATAAGTTGCCTAAGGCACAGGTCATTATATTAATCATGACTATAAAACCATCATTGATTTGACATCTTTTATACCCTAAATTAATAAATAAAAAGTTTTTAAATCCCAACACCTAGATTGTTGTTATTTTTAAAATCATCAAAACTTGTTGAATCTTTTGGCTGTAGTAATACTATGTACAACTTTTATAGTTTTTGTTGCATTGACATTCTGTTATCTTCATCCTTCAAAAGTATCTTGTCAATCAGTTCCACGTTGTTCTCCGAGTGCAGAGGTTCTCTCTCACCCGGCTCTGGAACCCAATTGAGCCATGTGTTACCTTTAGTCAAATTTAATTTAATATAGAACATCAGTTATTTTATAACACAATGTACAACATTTCATAACTAAATGTAATTTAAGGGGTTTTTACCCTAATATTTTGGTGGCTCAGGCATTATGACCTAGTAAGTATAACCATCTTTTGCTTTTCAACCATAGTCAAAATTTCAAAATCTCGTTTGTTTTAACTAAATGGTTTATACTTATTTTTAGGCATTTTCGATTTTAATAACCTGATGATGGACTGTGTAGTCCGAAAACGTTTGTTTTATTGATGTGGCCCTTTTAAGGGTTTTTTAAATAAATATACCCATTTACAAAGATTAACCTCTTTTTGTTATACGTGGTATACAGCCAGCTACAGGAATTTTTCCTTGTGGATTTTAATTCTAAAACTATCGTGGACAGAACACGTCACAAACAGAGAGGTTCTGAGAAGGGTGAATAAAGAAATGGAAATTTTAAGTACAATTAAAACAAGAAAATTAGAATATCTCGGACATATTACACGTGGAGAGAAATACACCTTGCTCCAACTGATTATGCAGGGAAATATCCAAAGGGTATTTATCCATAGGGTAAATATACATAGGGAGGCGTAGAATGTCATGGCTGCGCAAGCTGAGAGAGTGGTACGGATGTTCATCAAATGAACTTTTCAGAGCAGTTGTCTCAAAAGTCCGAATAGCTGTGATGATTGCCGACCTCCGCCGCGGAGATGGCACTTGAAGAAGAAGAAGATATTAATTTTATAATGGTGCCCAAAGTGATCTATTTTTTTAAATATCCTTAAATCCTTTGAGAATGACATGGGGCAACTGTGTCCCAATAGTGTTTTATATTGGGATCAATGAGTAATACATAAATACATTTTGAAGGTATTTTTTTTTTAATAAATAAAAATGAAAGAAAAAAATGATGTTGAAAAAACACGTCTTAAAGTGTCCCTAGCGCTTCCCTCTCATAGCCGCCCTTGGTTTCACGTAGAAAGTTATTAAATATTGGTGATTGCTGTCTTAGAACATTAGATGAGTAGGGTAGTGCAAATGTTTCCAGGTCGTATAACATAAGCAAAAAGCTCAGATCTCTGAAACACATTTTTACATATTAATTCTATTAAATATTTGTCTAATTATGACTTTATCGTTTTCAGAATTATTCACGAAAGTGGGTTTACTCCAGAAGACCACAAGCAATATCGGCCGGTGGTCTACAGCAATACAATACAATCCTTGGTAGCTATTTTACGGTCAATGCCAAATCTCGGAATTAGTTACGGAAACAACGAGAGGGAGGTAAGTGTCCTGATTTATGTTTTATTTAATCCAATTTTACTTGCACAACCTTAACTTCTACACAGAATCTTAACAAAATATAAAGTAAAGTTTCATTAATTATTACTAATTTTTCAAGGAAAGACAATTGACTTTCAGATGAAAACAACGTCCAGATTTGCCAGTGTTTATATACCTACTCTGTTCGAAACTAAAATTTCTGACTAATATAGCAATAGTTACTTTTCAAGTAACGATCTAAAGAGAAGTCTTAATATTTTGAAATATCAGTTTAATCAATTATTTAATCAAGGTATTAATCTTCTAGCAGAACCTAACTTGCCATTTATTTATTTTTTTCTTATCAAATATTTTTCATCTTGTTTGACGTAAAGTGTTCAAAATATTGTCCTACATAACAACATATATGTAATACGTTTTTTATCTTAATTAAAACGATCATTTATTTATAATCAACATCATAAATACAGATTTGAAAATACTAGAGGACAAACCACTCTTTGGTACTGGGTAAAATTAGATTCAATGAAAGTCGTAAAGGCAAAATTGAACCAACGAAGGCAAAAGAAATAATAAAAATTGAAAACTTACTGAAAGAACTGGTGAAAATATAACACATAAAAGAGGATACATGGGTGTATCCTTGCAGAAACAAAAAAAAAGGAAATGAAGAATCCTTACCAAAAACGCCAAAAATACAGCCCACCAAACATAGCCGAAAATGTGAAAATAATCACGCCCATGATGTGCATTCGTCATACGATGGACCACTTATCTACCGTTTGTACTCATAACAACTCGGTAGAGTCTGTGAAAAATTTAACCGCAAAGGAATGTTGTATTGGCAACAGGTGTTACTTTAAGTAGCGTTCAAAAAATTGCTCGGGAAATGCAATTCATTGAATATGGCGAATGCTTCTCATTTCTAAAACCAAATAAAAACAGGAAATTAGAAGAACTTTTCTAAAAATGCATATATGACATATGTATTCAGATATAAAAATTTCAAGGAGTTTTACTAACAATCTTCATATCAAAAATTGAAATTGTTTATGAAAATGTTGATGAATTCTAAAAGCACCAAATTGAAGTGAAAGACTTATTTTATTAAATTAAATCATTTAACGTTAAAAAAAATTATGTTAAATATTGTAAAATAGGTTTACAAAAGTGCATAGTGTGATTTTAAACTTATAAACATTTAAAATAACTAAAACGCATCAACATAATATAGCAAGTAATTTTTTTTTACTCTAAAGTACGGAGGAACAGATCTGACCAAACAACTACTAAAACTAATCCAAAAAATAATAGAACAAAACAAAATTCCTCAAGAATGGAGATCTAGCATCCTAATACCTCTCTTCAACAAGGGAGACAAATCGGACCCGGAAAGTAACAGAGAAATTAATTTATTAAACTTAACACTAAAATTAACAACCAAGTGATAACAAATAAACTGAATAATTATAACACTAGCAAAACAACAAGGTTTTAGATAGGGAAGATCATGCACCGATGCTATATTTATAATGAGGCAAGTACCAAATACCAAAACAACAAAATTTTTTTTTTTTTTTTTATTATAACTAATAAATTAACAATCAGAATAAAACAATATATTCTATAAGTTAATGTGATGAGTTTAAGTCCTGTCCCTTGGTTCTGGCGTGATGTGGTCCCCTCCAGTGAGAGAATCACGGGTCCATGTTACTGGTCTGTTGGCCAACGTCGCTTTAGTCTTCGGATAACTTGATGTTGAGGTATTGCGGAAATTAATGGGTTGGAGTGTGTGTTCACTTTTTGAATGTATTGTAATTTCTTTTGCTGGTATACTTCTTTCACTGTTGAGATATTGAGATCCTCATAGATTCGTTGGTTGGTTACGTACCAGGGTGCATCAACAATTGCTCTTAAGATTTTTGATTGACATCTTTCCATAATAGCAATATTAGATTTACTACTACAGCCCCACAGCTCTATGCCATATGTCCATATTGGTTTAATAACTGTTTTATAAATTAGAATTTTATTATTTATTGACAGTTTGGAGTTTTTTCCAATTAACCAATTGATTTCTTTTTGTCTTAGTTGTATTTGTTTTCTTTTTTTGGTGATGTGTTCTTTCCAACACAGGGTTTGGTCCAGGTGTAGCCCTAGGTATTTGGTTGTTTTAGTCCTGGGTATTTCCTCATTGTTGATATATATTGGTGGTGGTGTTTCTCGTCGTAAAGTGAAAGTTACGTGGGTTGACTTGTTTTCATTAATTTTTATTTTCCATTGTTTTAGCCAGTTTTCAAGCTCATACAAATAATCTTGGAGTTGTTGTGTAGCTATGTTAATGTGTTTGTGACTGGTAAGTGCTACTGTGTCATCTGCAAATGTGCCAATTGTTACGTTATGCGAAGTTGGTAGATCAGAAGTATATAATATATATAATAAAGGTCCCAGGACACTGCCCTGTGGAATTCCCGCCTTAATGGGATGCATTTTAGATATTTCTCCATTTACTTTTGTTCTAAACTGTCGGTTTTCCAAGTATGATGTAAGTATTCGAAAGAAGGGTGGTAATATTTGTTTAATTTTATAAAGAAGTCCTTTATGCCAAACCTTATCAAAAGCTTGACGTACATCTAGTGATACCATTGGGCAATATTCCTTTTCTTCTAATGCGGAATTGATTTTATGGGTTATTCGGTGGCATTGCTGGATAGTTGAGTGTTCTCGTCGAAATCCAAACTGAAAATTTGGTATCCAGTCTGCGCCTGTAAGGCCTGGATCTATTCTTTTTATTAAAAGTTTTTCTAGTAATTTGGAGATTGTTGATAACAGACTGATAGGTCGATAGGATGAGACTTCACTTGGATCCTTTCCTGGTTTTGGAAATAAAAGTATTTCTGCAATTTTTAGATTGTTAGGCCAATAATTACATCTTAATATTGCGTTAAATATATATGTAAGGATCACTATACCCTTTTTTGGTAATTCCTTTAGCATTTTTGGAGTTATTAGGTCAATTCCTGGTGACTTTTTGATATTTAGTTTTAAGATTTCTTCTTTAAGTTCTTTGGGTGTTGTTAATTTTATTGGATTTACTGACGGTTGTTCTGAGTTTAAATAATTAATAATTTCTTGATCTTCTTCATTGTTGTGTGGTTGGAATACTGTTGCTAAATGTTCAGCAAATAATTCGGATTTTTCTTTATCGCTTCTTGCCCATTGGTTCTGTGTGTTTGTGGTTTTTCTTACTGGTGGCGATATTGCTTGAGGTTTTAAGGATGATTTGATTGGTTTCCATATTGAATGGTCGTATCTATTAAGTTGTGTTACATATTTTTTGACTGACTCTTCTCTTGCAATTTTTAGTTGTGTTTTTAATTTATTGGCTAAGCGATTGTAAAACGTTTTATCCGCTGGGTTCCGACTTTGTTGCCATTTGGCTCTTGCTCTTCTTTTTTCAGCAATGAGCTTTTTAATTTCTAGTGGAATATTTATTCTATTCTCGATTTTATTTTTATCTGCATCGTTCGGTGTCGCTTCTTTTGCAGCGTTTTGTAATAATGTCATAAAGTTGTTTGTAGCTGCTTCTATTTCTGAAGGGCTTCTTAGTCTTACATTTAGTTTAATGTTTTCATCCAGTATTTTTCGGTAAACGTTCCAATCTGTTCTAGGTCCATGCAGTTTTGGAGTAGGTTGTTTGTTAATAACGCAGGTGCTAATTGTTGCAATAATTGGTGAATGATCTGAAGATAGATCATAACTTGGAACTATGTCCATAAAGGTGTTAGATATTCCTTTTATGATGCAAAAATCTAAGAGGTCTGGTCTTTTTTTGGGGTCCGTTGGCCAGTACGTTGGTGTTCCTGTTGATAAATATGAGTATTTATTTTCTTGCATTAAGCTATAAAGCTCTCTCCCCTTTGTTGTTATTAATCTTGATCCCCAGTACGTGTGTTTACTATTGAAGTCACCAGCTGCGATAAATTTTGGACCTAGAGTATTGAAGAAGGATGCGAAATCGGTTTTTTTAATATTGTGCTTTGGAGGGCAATACACTGCTGCTATTGTTATTTCGTAAGGTAATGAGCACACTTTAATTACTGTAGCTTGGATACAGTCTGTTATATAACTTTCCATCATGAAATGTTTAATTGATTGTTTGATCAAAATTGCTGTACCTCCATGGGCTGTCTTGTCTGGATGGTTAGTATGGTACGTTAGATATTGAGGTATTTTAAAATACGATTTGTCTGTAAAATGTGTCTCACTTATTAATAATACATCTATAAAATTTTGTTGTAGAAATATTATCACCTCGTCCTTATGATTCAGCAGGCCATTGGCGTTCCATTCTGCTATTCGTAGAAAGAATTTTATTTGCATATGAGTTTACTTAGCATGTTTATTACCATGCTGTTTTGTTGCAAGATTTGATTAAACATGGCTTTGAATTCTTCTAAAAACTTCATAAGAATGGTGTTTGAATCTTGGTTATCTGAAGGAGCAGCAGGAGGTTGTCTATTACCCGCTGCATTAGCATAGCTTACATTTGGTCTTACTGTGTTGGGTATAAAGTTTCTGTTACGTGCTTGCGACATATTTTGGTGATGATTATATGTAGTTTGTGCTATATTTTTATTTCTATTTAAATTACGATAATATTCGCATCCTTTATAGTTAGCTGGGTGATCTCCTCCACATAAAGCACATGTAGCTGGTGTGTTCTTGTTCTTTTTACAACTGCTTGTACTGTGCTGTCCTCCACATTTCACACAGACATATGGTCTATTGCAATATGTTTTTGAATGGCCATATAATTGACATCTCATACATTGGATGATATTTTTGTTTTTTATAGGTGGTTCAATTTGTATATTGCAGTGTTGTAGTTTCTGAATTTTATAAATATCTTGGTTATTGTCTGATGGTTCAAGGTCAACAAAGAACATATTTATCGGCTCTTTTGTAATCCTATGTTTAGCATTAATGATGTTTCTTACCTTGTGACCCAGTTTTGTCAGTTCTTCTTTGATGTCTTCTGTTGCATGTGAATAGTGAAGGTATTTAATTACGACTCTATAGGCCCTTTCTTCCTTTGGTTGATATGTGTGATGAATAATGTTGTTCTCTCTCATATATCTGGAGAATTTTCTGTATATTTCTGGATCGCTACAAATTATTTTGACTGTATTATTTGCCATAGTTCTGGTTTCGTATTGTTCAGCTTCAGCTATTTCTGTAAATTTTTTCCTCATTTCTGGGAAGTCGCTTACATCGTAAACAAATATTGGTGGTGGTTTAGGTATTCTTGGCGCTGTTTCATTTTGATTGGTTTCATTTTCTTGGGTATCCGTTAGGGTATTATATTTGTTCGATAGTGTAATGGTATCATCTTCTTTGTCTGTTTCTACATTTGATCTGATTTTTCTGCGTTTTGTAGTTTTAACTACTTGCCATGAGTTATTTGTTGACACATTTGCACTTTCTGGTTCGTCATCGCTTGTTGATGACATTCTGTAGTATTGCTGGCTATTTCTGTTATTTATATTGCTGTTGTGTGCCGCGTTTTGTTGATTTATATATTGTTCTTGATTGGGCGGAAATATCATATTCGTCGAAGAATTAGTGGTTGGTTGATTTATTTGCATATTGTACATACCTGGTATTTGTGATGAGATTTGTGGATAACCCTGTATATTGTTGATTTGTGATTGACCCTGTGTGTTGTTTGGAATCTGCATTTGTGGGTAACAATTCATTTGGTTTGATGGATACTGGATTGGTAATGGCTGGCTGTTTACATTTTGTATTTGTTGGCTAACTATGTAGTTGTCGAATCCTGGTCCATTTCCCGTTGGAAACATTATAAATAAATTACTGTATTGTTTTTAAATTTAATTTGATGAGTTTATTATTTTTAAGTCTATTACTAATTGATTGCTTTTTAATCACTTCACATTTATCTGTTCAAATCGAGAAAACCGGTCGAATGTTGATAACAGAGAACCATTTAACGTCCGCTCGGTATGGAGTATCGATGTGAACTCAACAACAAAATGAAAGTAAAAATAGAAGAACTAACTGATCCTATTGAAACTGGCAATGGGATAAGACAAGGAGATTCTCTGAGTCCTCTATTGTTTAACCTTATTATGAATGGAATAATAAAAAAGTAAGAACTAAAAAAGGATACCAAAGGATACTAATGATCCCAAATGAGAGAAAAACAACTTAAAATAATCTGGTATGCAGACGACGCAGATATTGTGAAGACCATCAAAATAAACCGCCTAAGGTGGATGGGCCATGTTATGCGGATGGATGAGAGTGATCCCACTAAAATAACTATGCTAAACAGGCCGGTCGGAAGAAGAAGAAGGGGGCGACCTAAACTCAGATATCTGGATGATGTACAGGAAGATCTGAGGGAGATTGGAGTGAGGGGCTGGAGAAGACAGACACTCGATAGGGAAGGATGGAAGAATGTTTTGAAGCAGGCCAAGGCTCACGAAGGGCTGCAGCGCCAACTGATGATGGTGCAGACGACGCAATACTACTTTCTCAAAGTGAAGATGACTTACAATGTAAATTGGAGCTGGAAGGTCAGATAATTGATTAAATCATGGAGTTTAAATATCTAGGTATCACATTATCTAACTACGGAAAGCTCGAAGTGAAAGATCAAGTGAATAGAGCAAACAAATCCGCAGGTTTTAAACAGTTATAAACATCAGAGATGAAAACACTTAGAAAAATTGATGTTAAAATACTTTAGGGCAGAGTTAGAAGGACAGATATACGACGTAGATGCAGGGTGTAGAACATCAATGATTGGGTAAGAAATAGAAGAGTAGAATGGAACGATCATACAAGCCAAATGACATCAAATAGTGCAGTAAAGACGATAAGGTTCCCTAATAGAAAGACGATCAGTAGGAATACCACGAGTTAACCATTTTTACAGCAAATAGATCCCGAGTTAGCCATTTTTTAAATGTTTCTGGATTTTACTATTTCAAAATTTCAATTTTTCTTGCTTATTTAGTAAAATTGTCACTTTTCTATATAATTCACCGGTCTTCACCTTTACTAATTAAAATCATATAGCCATCTCACATTGTTTATACATATATTGTTTATAAGTAAGAAATGAATTTAATCTTTGCATAATTGTTTATTCATATTACTATCACCAAATTTATCAAAAGAAGTTGTTAGATACCTGTATCAACGAGTGTCATGGGAAAATCGTTAGTTCCCTGGTCTGAGTAGCAATATATCAAAAAGACCAAGTTTCAAACTATGTTTGACTGACGAGGAGTAACTTGTGGAGGAAGACGTAAAAGAAAAACGAACATAACTTACAAGTAAAAGCACAAAATTGAAGAACCGGAAAAAATATTTTATTTTGATGACTTATTTAACATCATTAATATCTCAAATCATATATCCTTGGTCTAAAGATACTGTACATTTTCAGGGCATAATAACCCTGGATTATTGTTAACATTGTTGCTCGGTCGTAACTGCATAAATAATCGAAAAATAACACAAGATATGACATTGAAACGCATAAATTCAACAATAAATAGTTTTATTGATAATTTTATGGTAATTAATGTGTGGTATTTTTTACATTCTAAAAATAATAAATCATCGTTAATCCCGATTCGTTATCATTTTAATGAAAACTTAATGACTATTTATATTATCTGTTTATTGTTCTTGTCGGTGCATTTATTTATATGATTAAAACCACGTTTTTGTTCATAATTTCTATCCCTCTTCATTGAAAAACTGCATGCGCATTCAGGAGTACACTGATGCAGACTATGCATACTTTGCCATATTATTCTTGTAGTCGATGACAAGTTGGAATCTCTTGGCATGGATTGAGCAAGGTTCAAGAAATACTCTTCCTCCATAATCACCCACAACCTCTTTAACAACTCTTTCAGCTAATTTAGCTCGGTCTACACTATACAACCTTATTTTTCATCATATTCCAGGCGTTCTCGATGGGATTAAGGTCGAGCGAGTTACCTGGCCATTTCAATAGATTGATATTGTGATCATTCAAGAGCTTTGACACAGTCTTGGCCTTGACCTTGAGCACGAGGGCACCATCGTGCATAAAGACGTCACATTCGTGAATTTCCCACAAGTTCAATAAATGTTGTTCTAGAACAGTCACATAGTTGCTTTCCTCATTGTAACATCCTTTCAACTATTTCCACTAAACGCACCTCATTCCATCACACTTTCAGGATCTTTGACGGTTTTAACTGTGAAGTTTGGATCGTACCTTGACGCGGTGTGTGGACGACGACAAAATTTGGAGCTTCCTTTTATTAACCTGAATGTACTTTCGTCACTGAACATGACTTTTTTCCATTGTTCAGGTTTCCAATGCTGATATCTTTTACAAAAATCTTTTGTTCTTCATTGCTTTTGTAAGCAAAGGCTTCTTTGCAGCACGTCGACTTGGTAACGCTAGATCTGTCTTAAATCGGTGACGAATCGTTCTTGTTGAAACGTTCTAAAGGAGATCAGGATGTTTATTTTTGAGTTCTGTGTTTTTTTAGAAGCTTCAGAACCAGGTTTTCTTTCCGGAACAGTCCCTGAAGGCAACTACGCAGCCGACCATTTCAATTGGTAAATTGCTTCTCTTGAAACACCAGTACCACGTGCTACGGTAATTGAGTCTGCTTTCTCAAGTAACTTTAAAACATGACTTTTTTCTGTTGTGTGAGTTTCTTTTGACCCATATTTTTCACTTCCGTTTAGAGTTTAACGATTCCAAACTTTACTGAGTAAATAAAAAAGCTTACCACTGACTACTCGCACAAAGCTAACTGTGTCCAGCACAAACATGCAGAATAAACTAAAGAAACTAAGCGATCACTAATTCGTATGTTCTCTGACTTAACTACAGACGTACAGACAGCCGCCGTCGTAATTACGTTATCCCCTCCCCTTCAAATGCTAAACAAGCGTAGACAGAACGCATGAAATTTTTCTTCGAATTTATTGATTTATTTGGCAATGTAAAGAATTTTTTGCTGGCACTGTACTATACTTCTACTATTAAAAAGAGAAATCAGATTGAAAGAAAGATACACTTCACATCTAAACACAAAAAAGTCTTTCACAGGATCATACTAATATATACAAATTAAAATTTAAAAGGGAAAATCCCAGTAATTGGCTATATACCACAGTTTAAAAAAAAACTTTCTATGAAGTGAAATCTTCTTGAGTAAAATGATATAAAATTTATTAAAAATTTTAAAAATAATTTAAAATGGATTTATATCAGAACGTTTTCAGTCCTATTGGACCATCCTCAATGTAAAGCCTAGAAATAAGTATTACCACGTTAAAACTTATTGAACAAATGGGTAAACTGTTAACGGTTAGTTTTTTTATTGTATAATAGCTTTGGCTTAACCAATTAACTAGACGGTTAAGTTACAACATGTGGTGAATACTTACGTCTATGTAGTATGTGAAACTAGTCATATAAAGAGGTCAGATCACCCTCAAATTACATAAGTAATAAACATAATTATTATGACGCAATAGTAGTAGAAAAGTAATATTAGCAATAAGATTTTAAATGAATCGTTTTATTTCAGATTGACGGCAAAATGGTATTCGACGTTATCCAAAGGATGGAAGATACAGAACCATTTTCAGAAGAACTCTTAGCAGCAATGAAAAGGTTATGGGCTGACTCGGGAGTTCAGGAATGTTTTGGTCGTTCCAACGAGTACCAGCTCAACGATTCCGCCAAATAGTAAGTATAATGAAATATTTTTACTTACACTTAGAGTATTTAATTTTATATAACCTAATCCATGTATTATGACTTAAAATGTATTTAGTTACTTTTCAATATGCATGCATCTATTTAAAGCCCTTTTTATATTTCATTTTCCACCGTGTATAACAATGCGTCTATATTCTTTGCTGATATATCCAATGGATTTATTTTTATATCTGACTCTCATAGAGGGCGCTAGTTACAAAGTTCGTACCAAGTATTATTCAACATAACTTTTTTAAGGGTAGAATTATTAATCAAAATTCCAAGTAAATTTACACATCATACAATTTTACACCAAAAAGGTTCTCTAGGTAAAACTCCACACTGCGTACCTTTTTCGGAATATTTTGATTGGAAAATTATGAAGTAATAACAATAACCGATGCTGATATAAAGTAATGATAACGTTCTAGTAGTTATACCTCGATTTTCTCTAAGTTTGCCATAGGAAACTGTTTTATTGATTGTTATGACGATGAGTTAACAATATAGTAGACAAAAACTTAAAAATAATTGGTATTCACATTACAGAGAACGTAAGATTGGCTTAATGTAACCCTAGGATACCCTCAAGAAGATGGTTTTACACAGAATCTGATCGACATTTTAAAAGTCCTAAATCATGCTCTTACGCCATCTTACATGTATGGAATAGGCTTATCAAATATAGTCGTTACAAGGATCTACAGACCGAGCGTGTCGTATAAAATCCACCGCTTCGCGCAATCGTACTTGTGAGTTCGTGAACTAGTCGACTGCAGATACAATTTGCCAAATTTTAAAAAATTAATTCTATTTTTTATGGAGAGTTTTTTAAAATGGTAATTATAAAATATTTTGTTATTAATACAAGTATTCTTTTTATTATTTACTGAGCATTTAGAATTTCGACTAAGCAATTTTATAAACTATTTGGAAAATAGCATTTTAAACAAGATTCTGTTTTTATTTATTGTTTCTCAAAAAATAAAACAAAACTAGTTTAAAACATATATATTGATCAATAAAAAATAATTTAATTTTGTATTAAAACTTTTGCAGCTAGTATATTGGCTTCTTCTAAGGAGGGCTTCTGCAGTTTTGAACTTTTCCCCTTTTTACTTTTTTTGTTGGGAAAAACATGTATGTAATTATTGTGTTTGGCTATTATTGATTTAGTGTATTGGTATTGGTTTTACGTTATAGATTGCTCAGATTTGCAAACTTTTTATTACATTCCAAGCAAGTCACAGTAGATTTACTTTGTTTAACGTCCTTTGCCACTAGTATATGTAGCATATCTAAAAAATTTATTATATGAGGATATCCGACACAGTGTCTCAAGTACGATTGCGCGAAGCCGTGGATTTTATACGACACGCTCGGTCTGTAGATCCTTGTGGTGTCGTTCGACATAATCGGAAAGCGGCGTTGTTCAATTTGTTGGCATATCTGGTGAGCCCACACCTGTACTTCTGTTTTGCATTCAAACTTAAATACTACTAAAAAAAAATTGTTTTTAATATAAACAATTTCAATCAAGCTTTTTAAATATGTTAAAATATTATTTTTACAGTTAATGGCTAAAAAGTTATTGTAATTGTTTATAAGCAAAAAATCGACACGTTTTTGCAAAATTATTTTGCAATATTTAAAATTAATTTTCTTAATTTTTTTTAATGTAAATAATAAAACAAGTCAAGCCTACCAGAAACAACCCTTCTAATTTCTAAAACTATATAAATTTCTGACTTACATTGTTGCAAAAAATGTTAATTTGCGATAAACAAATAAAATAACTTTTAAACTATTAGACCGATCACTTTGAAATGTTAACCCTATTTTATGCACTATAAGACACATCATTCCATAAAATATAAATATTATAAGTTTATTTGCAAAAAAGTTATTAACATTTATAAAAAACCGAAATTTTTTACTTATTTTGCAACTTTCTAAGCAACAAATAAGGATAGGAACATTTTGAAAACGCCATTTTGAAGGTTTTTATATAACTTATAAGTTTCCTCTCTTCTAAAATTTGTTTAAATTGCTTCACTTTTTGCTGATAGTCGAAAAAAGCAAAAATTTTCGGCTTTTTTAACTTAATTTGTTAATAACTAATTTAGTCCAAAAAATCGACTGCAGGAAACATATAGGTTTTTATTACAGAGGTCCACACTACTCAAAACAACTGTCGTTTGCCTGGCCGGACGAGTGTCAAAAACAGGGTACTTTTTTTGCTTATTTCCCTGGCCTAAATACTTGGGATTAAGTTATTGTTAAAAGATATGGGCCTTCGACGAAAATTACCAATTTATGAAAAGAAACTGCATACTGGAAAGCATTTGTTCTTTTCATACAGAATATTAAGACGGAAGGATTAAAAACCTTTCTTAATTAGGGAATTCCATTTCAGCTTGGTGTCTACAATAATATTTTTCTATCGTAAACACGGGGATTCCTAATCATCGGCGTATCGCATGGGGGTAAGAGGAATTAAAAATAATTTGATATATTAATAATAAAAAAAATGTTACAACCCATTGGTCAGAGAAGAGGAAGACCCAGAACAAGATGCCTTGATAACATCGATGAACACATGAGAAATATAGGAATACATGCTTGGCAGAAGAAGGCGATAGATAGGGACGACTGGTGAGAAATTCTTGAGGAGGCTAGGACCCACGCAGGTTTGTAAAGCCAGAATAATGATGATGAATAGACTTTTATGTATTCGTGAAAACGGTGAACATTTTGTACACTTATTCTAATTGAATTTTATTTTATGTTCTTAGTGTTTATTTTAATTTTCTTCTTGTGATTTTTTTTTAATAACTTTATCATTACTTTATACCAGCATCGGTTATTAATTCATAATTTTCGAATCAAAATATCCCGAAAACGGTACACAATATTGACTTTTACCAAAAGTACCATTCTGATTTAAAATTATTTGTATGATGTTTAAATTCACTTGGAATTTTGATTAATAATTCTATCCTTAGAAAAGTTGTGTTAAATAATACTTGGTACGAACCTTGTAACTAGCGCCCTCTATGAGATTCAGATATAAAAGCAAATTTATGAGATATAACAGCTTCCAAACCATATTCGTATAAAATTTCATTACAATGTTACCAGTAGTTTCGGCAAAATCGTAAAAAACTAGAAAATTTTTTTCAACGCCCTTTACCTTGAAAACGGATGGCGCTACAAAAATTTTTTATCAAGCAAACCCCAATTTTTTTTTAGTTTTTTACGTATCCTAGAGACGGTGTTACGTTTTTTTGAAGCGCCCTGTATACAGATCTTATATTTGGCATAATCAAACCATTCATGTCCATCCGGGTAAGATATTTCTGTGAATAAATGAAAATTTTAACAAAAATTTTGTTAAAAGATAGAAAATATAACAAAAAACTTACATTTAACAGGATAGTGAAAATGGACTTTACAAATATCAAAGACCCACACGATAAAAACATGTTTATCATTAAAAACATTATCATTTTAACTAATTCTAGTTACTATAATAACTGGTACATATAAAAACAGGCTGACCTGTAATAATTTGTCAAATATGTTTACATTAAACTGCCACTGATCACAAAACCTACCATTCCAGCAGTAGTCAACCAGTGATTCTCGGCATACCATGCCTGTTTGAAAACACACAACATACCGATTTCGGTAGCAACTTCGAATTACCTCTTCCCCTACTACCAAAGGAATTTCTTTGTACAGATCGGAACTAATGCTAATACTGGTATAAAATTGACTCCTTTCAAACAGTACGTCATCGCAACAAATACTAGTGATGATGTCTGGTTCAGATTGACGGGTTGGGTACCGCTATTGTCGGAATAGTAGATAATGTGACCGTGGGGTCCAATCACTAATGGACAAAACATGAAGTCTTTTCTTGTAGTCTTAATATACGTGGTAGTAATTGTATTGGGAGGTTCTTACAACGCCATCTATGTAGACTTCACAGTAAATATTGTTTATACTATTTACCTATTTATTAGGCCAGTTTTTGGGGATACTATTTCTAAAATAATATCAAGATTATGGAATTTGTTGGAATTTTTATGGTTTATGCAACAATTACCTCGAAGAATCAGTGGCGGATATACGGGGAGGTAAAATGGGGATATTCCCCCACCCCAACACTTTCCAAAATTAAAGAAAACCTATTATTTATATTTTTGGTTGGTGCTTCATTGGAAGTTCCCCCGCGCGACCCCCTCCCCCTGGCAAATGTTTTCTTTTGCCACTTCTGCAAAGAATATGATTTTTTTTTAACCTATTCTCTATCCTTCCATTGTTGGATATAGGTCTCCCCCAGTTCTCTCCATCTTTCCCTATCTTGAGCTGTTCTCTGCCATGTGGGACCTCTTTGTTTCCTGATGTCATCTTTCCACCTCATCTGTGGTCTGCCTCTTGATCTCTTTGCATTGTATGGACGCCAATTTCCGATGGCATTGTTCCATCGTCCGTCTTGGAGACGTTCATTGTGTCCAGCCCATTTCCATTTCAGTTTTGCTGCTTGTTCTATCGCGTCTACTGTCTTTGTTCTGGTTGTGATCCACTGGTTACGTTTTCTATCTCTAAGTGATACACCCAACATTTGTCTCTCCATCGCTCTTTGTGCCTTCCTTATCCTATCCAAATTGGCCTGTGTAAATGTCCATGTCTGTGCTCCGTAGGTGAGCACCGGTATGATCCAGGAGTTATATACCTTGCTTCGTAAGTATAGAGGGATTGTTTGATTTTTTAGAACGTAAGAAAGTTTGCCGAACGCTGCCCATCCCATTCTTACTCGTCTCGATATTTCGGCTGTTTGATTTTCTCTATTAGCTCTGATTGCTTGTCCTAGATAAATATACTCATTTACCTGTTCTATTTTTTCTGTTTTTATTTTTATTGCCTCTTGGTCTTCCGTGTTTGTCATTACTTTTGTTTTGTTGAAGTTAATTTTTAGGCCTTTTTGCAGTGATTTTTCATGAAGTTCATTCAGCATTAATTCCAGTTCTTGTCGTTCCGAGGAGATCAGGAGTATATCATCCGCATATCTAAGGTGATTTAGGTATTTTCCGTTAATACATATTCCTCTGTTTTCCCAATCTGTTGATTTTATTATGTCTTCGAGGGTCAAGGTAAACAGTTTAGGTGAAATTATATCGCCTTGTCGGACTCCTCGTTTAACTTTTATATTATCCGTTATTAATTTGTCGTCCAGAATTACGGTCATGGTTGCGTTTTGGTAAATATCATGTATCAATTGTCGGTATCTTGAATCTATTCTACTATTGACCAGAGCTTCTTCAACCGCCCAGTGTTCAATGCTGTCGAAAGCCTTTTCATAATCTACGAATGCTAAATACAGCGGAAGGTTGTATTCATTGGTTTTCTCAATTAAGATTTTAAGCGTATGTAGATGGTCGATTGTTCTGTATCCTTTTCTGAATCCGGCCTGTTCCACTGGTTGGTAGTTATCAAGTTTATAGGTTAGTCGGTTGTTTATTATTCTTGTGAAGGTTTTGTGACAAAAGGGAAATGGACGGTAGTTGTTTAGGTCTGTTCGGTCTCCTTTCTTATGTATTAAGATTGTGTTGGCATTTCTCCTTTGTTTGGGTATTTTACCTTCAAACAGACATTTGTTGAACAGTATTTTTAGCATTTTTTTTATCGTGTCTCCTCCTTCTTTTAGCAGTTCCGCCAGTATTTTGTCCTCACCGGCCGCTTTATTTCTTTTCATGTCGTCTATGGATTTTTCGATTTCATCTTTCATCAGTTATTTCTGGTAATACCTCTGAGCCAACATTTTGTATTTTCCTCGTGAGATTCTGTTTAGATGATAGTGGTGGGTCATTTTTAGATCTGTATAGGTCTGTGTAATATCTTTCTGTGATTTTTACTATTTCTCCTAGATCTCTTTCTTCATTGTTCTCAGCTTTAAGCATGATTAGTTTTCTTTTTCCTATATTTGTCTTCATTGTTTTTAAACTTTTGTTCTTCTCTATGATTTTCTTATTGCGGTCTTCTTGGTATTTCTTTAAATCTTCCTTTATCTGTTTTCTTATGGTTTTATTCAGTTCGGTATACTCCACTGTATTTGTAGTGTGAGTTCGGTGTACTCCACTGTAAGAATATGATATTGAACTAAAAATCGACCACAAATTTCAAGATTTACGGTTTACAAAGACATATTGAAAATAATATTCAACAAATTTAGCTTTACTAATTGTAATCGTATGCATTATTATTAGCCCGATTTAAGCCATCCCATCCCCACTGTCTTTAAGACGAAAATTCACTCATCCCAGATACCTACCGTATCAAAATTAAAGTTAGTTTCTTGTAATCAAATAAACTTTTACAACAAAGTCATTTTAGAAAAGCATCTCCAAAATATTGAAAATATCATTTCAGAGTCAGTCTTCTTTAAAATGTAGGCTATAATACGGGCCCTAACAGCTATATATTGGGACAAACTAAAATGCATGCAGAGTTCAGATACTTGACAGTTTTTTTTTAATAATGTTTTTAATGTAATACTGCAATGTAATTCAGGAGGAATCCATCATATCACATGTTGATCGAGTTGGCAAAGTGTCCAATTACAATCGATCTAGACCAATCAAATTTATATGTAATGCAAACACGGTCAAACTTTCTCTTATGTCTTGTAATAAACTTCGAAATAGAATCGTTTATAGAATATCTAAGGATCAAACAAAGATGGAACAAGACACTTACAAGGCAGTTAAAAAGGAACTAGATTAAAGAAAATCTGCTGGCGATGAAAATCTATGAATTAGATACCGCAGTGGTGTACCTATAGTTTGTGAAGTTATACAACAAAAAAACTAGTATCCTTCTCATTAACAGTTTTTTATCAAAGTGTACGAGGCATTCGTGCAAAGATTCCTGAGATTCTGAAAAGTATTTCTTAAGTAACTTAATGATAACATAACTGATGGTAAAATTAAAAGTGGTGGTTTTAGTATCTACAGATGTGATAGCTCCCAAAGAACCAGTGCAAAGCTGAGTGACGGTGATGTATTAGGGTTTGTTAACAACAAGCTAAAATCGCAAACCATTAGTATTCGTGAAGATCAGGTTGTGCAAATATATATTATGTCCACTAAATTAAGCCAAGATTGTGGTCGGTGGTGTCTACACACCTCAACAATCACCTCGCAAAGTATACAACTGGCATTGCCAAACTGTGGAAAATGTTGTTCTGAAGTACCCAGCATGGGATATCTGTTTTTGGTGATTACAATATTTTCAATGCATCATGGGAGAATGGTGAGTTTGGTGTGATGGTGCATTGTCCCGCAGGAGATCGAGCTGTGAATATTGCTCAAGCCTAAAATTACAATAACATTATAATATTCCCAATAATCTAATGTACTTTTAGATTTAGTTTTTTCTCAATTTTCTTTTTTCTATGTTAGGGAGCTAAATATCTTAAAAGTAAGCAATCCCCTTACAGATCCTAGCATCCATCATATGGGTTATGAATGTTGCTTAAACCTAGAAGAAGAATAGGTAAAGAGAAGGAAGTTGAACTTATAATTAAACAAAGAAAGCTACAGTATCTCGGACATGTGATGCGGGGCGAGAAGTATTGCATCTTGGGACTCATAATGTAAGGAAAGATATATAGCAGAAGAAGCATCGGAATGGTTTGGATGCAGCTCAAAACAACTATTTAGAGCTACTGCCTCAGAAATTAAAATAGCTATGATGATTGCCAACCTCCGTAGCGGAGATGGCACCTGAAGAAGAAGAAGATATATATGCTTAATATACGTTTTCGTATAATGCTTAATTATATTCCACACTGTGAAGGAAAATGTATGAAGTAATGGATGACGCCGACAATCGTCGGCTGCTCTGAAAAGATTTACTGAACTGCAACCATATCACTCTCTTAGGCTTCTTAGCCAGGAAATTCTTCGTCTTTCTATGGATCTTTTAACCTTGATTTTACCTTGCATTATGAGACTTGTTTTGATGTGCTTTATAACCTCGCAATCCTTTTGTAGCCTTCTTAACACTTCTGCATTTGTAACTCGTTGTGTTCATGGTATTTTCAAAATCCTTCTATAGCACCACATCTCAAATGATTCCAACTTCTTTATATTATCCTCTTTTAGTGTCCAGCTTTCCATTCCATACAACAAATTCGAGAACACGGAGCATCTTAAATCTCTTATCCTCTGCTCCAGAGAACGGTCTCGATTAACAAACATTGTTTTCATTTTTGTAAATGCTTGTTTTGCAATTTCCATGCGTGTCTTTCAACTGACAGAATATACCAGAAACCAATTATCGCCAAAAGAATTAAAATAGAACGTGAGTAAGATATGTAATGAGAATGGGGCAAAATAATCCAGTAAGAAAAACAATCGATAAGGAAGACGAGACAAATTCTTTAGAATGCTAGGACTCAAATAGGGTTGTAAAGCCAGAATGACAATGATGATAATACTGACAGAATGGTGTCTGTGTCTGTTGTGAGAATATAAAACCGTTGTTTTAATAAGTTACTTTTTAGAAGCTTAATATAATTGCAATTATTATTAATTTATACATAGTGTTGAAATTTGGATAAATCCTGCTTTTAGTGTATTAGAGATTTTTAAAGATAAAGATTTTCAAAATATCAAAGATAGTTTTAACTTTTTGCTATTTTATTGATATGGGAGAAAAAGTACGATGTTTTAAGCAAGTTTTTTTACTTTTTAGTTTCTTAGATGATTTAAATCGGCTAGGAGCAAAGGATTATCAGCCAACGGAACAAGACATATTAAGAACAAGAGTGAAAACTACGGGTATAGTGGAAGTACACTTTTCCTTTAAAAACCTAAATTTCAAGTAAGTACAGTTTGTTTTATTTAATTTACTGTTACTATTAGTTTTTATTGTTTGAGTTTGTTGGTTTTCTGTAACCTAGTATATTATACAATATCTTATTTCTATTTATTACTTTGAATACTTGCGGAAGATTATTAAGCCTCGTTTAGGTTCACAAACTGCTTTTACATAATTCAAAAGTCATTGTATGAAATCGAATTTTGAAATATTAAAAATAGATTAATTAATCATACTCATACAACAGAGTACATTGCTCCCAAAGTATATTTACAGCTAATCAGAAGGCGCAGTTGTAACATTTTGGGTCTTCGTCCAAGAATCAGTTTGATATATCACGAATATTGACATAAGAGTCTCAAAGTTAGAAAGATTAAATAATATTTAAAAAGTTATAATAAGTAAGGAATAAACATAATATTTTGACGTTAATTTAGCTATAAATTCACTTGCACAATCAAGAGTTATATACAGTGTACAGTATATTATTTTGTGTAAAACTAGAGGTCGCGGGTTAAATGAAATTAGAGTAATAATGGAAGAAAAATGCAATATTCTGATTGTGAATTAATAAGCGAAAATAGCAAATATTAATTGTGAATAAATTACGATAATTAGCTAGCTTAACTCGTTGCTGTTATCTGTAAAGACTTACCTTTGAAATTTGGTGTATTAATCGTAGCAAGAGTAGAATAGTAGAGTATGTTTCAACTGTAGTGGCGGAATTTTCAAGGAACAGTAAAGTGGCGCCAAACAAAGCAGTGGAGTTTTACATTTTAATACATATTATTATAATATATCACATACATATATTGTCTGTATGTGAAACCATAGATACGTATTACAGATTACAGTATTAATAAATATTAATTACAAAGATTGTTTTAACTTTTAAACCTTTATTATTTATATTATTACTCACTTAAACGTCACAAAGTTAAATAGAAGAATATACGAAATGATTGTAATCAAGTAAAAAAATAATACATACATACAGGACAGTTTGGAAAACTTACATTCACATAGGTTACATAGGTACATCGTAATGTTAAATTATATTATTCACTTTCCAAATACTTATTTTCAACCTTGAAAACATGTTCACATACTTTCTTCCAGTTAGCATAACCGATCAACTAGGTGCGTTTCTTTCGCTAGCGCTATCAGCGCTATTGTATGGAGTATCTAACTGAATGGTCACTGAAACATGATACTTTATAGCGGTATGTGTGCTGGCGACATAATTTCCAAAATATCTCCCTCTCTCTCTCCCTTCTACCTCCCCCTCCTCACTCTCTCTCACTCTCTCTCTCTCTCTCTCTCTCTCTCTCTCTCACTCTCTCTCTCTCTCTCTCCTCTCTCTCTCTCTCTATTCAATGGCTAAAACTGGAAAGTTATATACAGTTCACCATCCACTATGGAACAACAGATTTATTTTTTGGACAATAGAAAATTAAAAATTCATTCACTCTCAGATCGCCGTTCAGACAACACTCTTAAAATCACTTTTCAATACACTTTCGCATTTTAAAGATAAATTTGTTTCTATATTCTTGCATTTTAGTAATATAAACTGTAACATAGTTTAGAAGTGAATCGCTTGTTGTAATTAGTCACAATAAAGATCTGTCAGTTTGCATTTTACATCTGATGCTTATTAATTGGTAGCAATTTCCCAATCGAAGAAAAAATATCTCAATCTATGTTATGTGTGTGAGATTAGACAAAGTTTCTGCACACTATGTCTGTGGTCAACATCTTTACAAAAAATGAATTTTCAAGTCAAGTTTATGTTCAATTCAAAAGATTGTCGAAGGAATTGCATTGGACTAACCGTTGGTAGTAGATTTTAACATACATTGTACGGTAGAAAACTTGCAAAATTTGGAAGAGACACTATTCAATTCCTTTCCACAGAGCAAGGAAAAAATTAATATAAGATTTGGAGTGAGTGTTCATTACCCTCTCCAGCCTTAACCCCCTGGAGCGACTGTAGTGGTTGTCGTGAAATAGTGTAGGGGCATTCTCCATAAACTTCTGTCTCTTAGTCCTCTTGGTCCCCTTGGTCTCTCCATGGATAGCTCTATTATAACTTGATATGATCTAGTTAATTCATTTTTTACGGATATTCCTCGTGGTCTTCGGCCTTCTACCTTCCCTTGTATGATGTGCCTTTGCATGTCTGACTTCATGACATGTCCAAAATATTTTATTTGTTACAGTTTGTATGTTAAACATTTCCGGAGAGCCTCTTACTGATCTTTAGTTGTCTTAGAATAGAATTATTTTTCTATGATCGGTGCCTGGAATTCGCAACATTATTTTTTATCAAAACATTTCAATGACGTCTATCTTTCTCCTTTCTGATTGTCTGTTTTCCAAGATTCGCAACCATATGTCAGTAAATTAATTACTATTAAACTGGAATAAGTCACAATTAAAGATAAAAATACGCTTATTGACGTTTCAACTTCCACTTCGGAAATCGTTCTCAAAATACAAACAGTAAATTAAACAACTTTTGTTTTTTGTTACATAGTGAAAAATTCTTCTAATAATTTAATTTTATCTGACTCATTTATATTGACAATTCAGACATACATTATGCATTTTAAAGTAGACGACTTTAAAATGATATTGCCAATATTGTTGAGTTGCGCTCCTGGGACGACTTACTTATAAGATAGTTCATTCGATTACATGAAATCAACTTTAACTTGAGAATATCCGTCAGAAAAAAAAATCATAGCATGTAATTCGTCTTTAAAAAGACAAACACATGACATGATGACAGTAAAATTCTCCTGTTAGTGATTCCATAGTAAATTATGAGGGAAAAACCAGGAAAAAAACCTCATAATACTATCCCGACATTGTAAGTATTTGTTACTGACTTACTAATACTGGTATTTTCTTATTAATAACTTCCTCTTTCAATATTGGTAACCAGATCCTACTACATTCTGCCGAGGAATTTGCGACACAATTGGCCTCATTTAGCATAATTAGAGCCGCTTCTTTGATTTTTCTTTTTTTACCATCCGTTTCTTTTAGAACTACATTTGAATTATTCCATTGAACCCTATGTTCATTATCCCATGCGTGTTTACAGATTTGAGATCTATCAAATTCCCTATTTTTGTTGAAGTGTTGTCAAAGTGGAAGTTGAAACGTCAATAAACGTATTTTTATCTTTAACTGTGGCTTATTCCCAGTTTAATAGTAATTAATTTACAATGCCACAAGAAAATAGCTTCAGAACAATATTAACATATGTCAGTACTAGAAATTTTAAGGACTTTCCAGTCTCATTTTTAGGGTTTTTGAAATATTGGTATCTTTACATTTTTTGGTCATCTTCCTCATAGCGATTTGAGCTAGAACACGTCTACACGTTTTAGCTCTTCCTGAAGTGTCTCTATTTTTGTGATCAATGATCACGGATAAGTAAGAGTTTACAACACTAAACCGAACAATTGTGGTTATATATGTTAGGTTGTTGTGTTGCCTATTCACATCATATTTTTTTCTTTATACATACGACTCTAAGAAAAACCTTTTACTCTCATTTCCAACCAACCGTATGAGATAAATCAGCCTCTTCGCAAAAAAGGCTGTATTGTCCGCAAAGTAAAAATACTATGTTCTTATTGACTTGTTGAACACCTGATGATAATCTATAAAGCAGATGTTAACGGGATATTGAATTCTCTTGACTTGTTGATTATTTGTCTTGCATTTAAAAGATGTTCTAGTTTTGGCGCAAATTCGGTCAGCTCTTCTGCTATTTCTCTTTGGAGAAAAGTTCTCAACGTCTCATTGTTGATTTATAGCATTTTCTTGCTGGCATGTGAGATAGGGAAATAGTTATGTAATTGTCACACTTCCGAGAGCTGTCTTTTTTGTGTATTATTGTGATGGTAGAGTGCATCCAATCAGGAATTCCATATTTGATTATTGTAAAGGAGACGAAACAATTTTATTTCGATTTCTTTTGTTTTCTTAAGCATTTCTGCTGTTATTATATCTGGGCCTGGTGACTTATTTAATTTAATTTTATTGATTGCCAGTATTATTTCGCTTTCGAGTGTATCGGTTCTTCTTGCATTTCCTCTGCGTTAAGGTGGATATGTTCCAGGCGTCGGTCGCTTATATATATATATATATATATATATATATAAATATATATATATATAATATATCTTATTCTTCGTTCATATCTTCCCACTTTTAACTTCCCACTTTTAACTCGTGCTTCTTCCTATTGTTCTCTATATGCATATATGTTTATTAATTCGAAAGCTTGTTCCTCTCTTAAAGGTGTATCGGTTTCAGACATTGTCTGACCATCGTTTCATTAGTTGTTGCGTTCTGCACATACGATGACCTCAATATAACAATTGGGATCATCAGAAAGGGAGAGAAGATATTCTATTCAATCCAGAACTCGCTGGTTTCCCCCTTTCACATTGGGTATGTATATTGAAATAAAAAAAAAGGAAATGAAAACCAGCGTACTATATAAAACTCTATTTTAAAAAGCAGTGAAATGAAACATAAATATACATAACCATACAATTATAACTAAAAACAATAATATACACAAACACATAAAAAAATACAAATATACGAATACAGTAAATAGTAAATATAACAAAACAAATGCAAAATGTTCAATTCACAATGTTCAATCGCGATCGCGGCACAACTGAGATAATTGTTCTAAGCAAATGAGAAAATCTATATACCAAGTAACGTACTTGATATATGCAGCAACATAGATAAATGGTGTATTGTAGCCTACCCAAAGAAATGATAGCACTACCGCTATCGCAAATTACGCCTTCAACGACGCACTGGAACCACAAAATTCATAAATGCACATTGCACCCCAACTGCAATTGACGTCTATCTCGGTCACAGGACCGATGCGGAGTGTCAGGTACTCTTAACCCAAAACGCATACACACCTGTATGGTTTGAGAGATAAAACTCGACTCTGATTTTGAAAATCTTACACACACGTCTGGTGATATTTCGCAGATGGCTTTTGTAAATTAGTAGATTTTAACACAGATATATTTTTGTACGGGTTTAAATATACTACGGGGAGAATCAAAACTAACAAAAAGTCTTAATATTTTATAAATGTTTATCTATCGTTGTGAAACTGCAACATTAGATTTCCCTTTGATCTCTTCCATCGAGCGTGTCCCCAAGTGGCGAATATGAGAATGCTCTCACCCTTCTTGACCAGCGAGTAGGTCAGCAATATAATGTCACCCACGCATCAAAACCGACTTAAAACAATCCTACTCTCATGAGGTCAGCAACGGACCAGATTTTTTCAACTATTTCAGATTATAAATTGACGTCAAATACAATGTATGGCTATACGAAAAAATCGCATCTTTAAATTGCAAACCTGATTGAATATATGGTTTCAGCGTTGCTGTTTACATATTGAAGTTTTATCTGAAGCAAGGAAGAAAATACTGAGCGAACCTTTCAAGAAACTCACGCATTGTAGCTTTACGTGGTTATAGTTAATTCCATTTACGATAATCTATATCAGAGTTTTGATATTTCTTTTATGTTTTAAATTTTTAGTTTTAGTAAACTTAATAGTCTTTATTTTTTTAATTATATTTTCGCTATATCTATAATGAATGCAGTGTGAACAACTACACGTGTGTTAAATAGCGTGTACATTACATTTCGGAAACTTTGTCACATTGTTTATACATGTTATGCTCTTTTGTACTCAGTATATTGTCAGAAAAAAAAACATGTAATAGTTAGTATATTAATTGCGCTTACATTTTCAGATTATTCGATGTTGGTGGTCAGCGATCGGAACGGAAAAAATGGATACATTGTTTTGAAGATGTGACTGCGATTATTTTCTGCGTAGCTATGAGTGAATACGATCAAGTGTTACATGAGGATGAAACGACAGTAAGTTTTTTATGTAAATAATTGTGAAAAAGGTAGAAAATAAAAGCATTGTAGATCCATTTTAAAGTTAAGAACCGGGAAAATGCGTTTGTATTGAAACATTTTTAGTATTGAATATTTTTCAAAATAAAACGTTTTAAAATATAACAAATAGATGAAAAAATAATAAAACTCGAATTTTATTTGTAATAATTCTGTTTTTAATGAGTTAATGGGTTCGTGTTTTTGACCTAGTTGTCGATATAGCGGTTTTTGTCTCCACTATATTATTGTAGTTGAAGTATAAAATTTCTTCTTCGATCTGCGTTGTTCATTTGTCTGCATGGATGAAGATTAGTTTCCTGTTGTGACTTTTCAAATAAATCTCACAATGAGTCTTTTATCTCGTCTTTCAGTCACCATCCAACCCTGCTCTTTATTTCAATATAACTCATTCTACTGCGTTGATCATGCACCACACACGTCAACCACAAGACCATTTACGTTCGAAATACGATCAATAAACAAAGATCGGTTACCATATATCTTTTCCTTTGCCATTTGCTCTAAATCCCTCAGTAAATAACACTGCTATCTTCAAAAGGCTCTACTAAGTCTAAACAATTTTTTTTAATCGATCAGTTAGTTGGATCAGGACAGAACAACAACATAATATGTATTAAAATTATCAAAGTTGAAACTTCAAATGAGCAAAAAGCCGGTCCCGTTTCTAATATTAACCACCTCATTTTAATTTTCATCTCTAAACTAATAATTCACAAACTACAGAAATATTCACCAGTATTGATATTTATGTAAACACATTACTGAATATCGAATCATGATTATTTTTATATTAGAGTTATTTTATTTATCTATACAAAATTAAATGGATTTTATAATGTATTTGATCTTATTACATATGTTGGGGAATGGAAATGCATATTAATAACATTGCCTGGTTTTGTACCACAAAATGTCAAAACATATTTTTAGAGTTTGTTTTTTAGAGAATTTAGAGATAATTTTTTATTTGCTTTACATTACATGCATTGTAAACCGTGGACATATTAAAAACATGAACACAGTCAATAAGTTACATACACATTTAAATGCTAAAAATTTGTAGATACATAAAATTAAAAGTATTGTCGGATAGCCGACAAGTAGATCCCCATGTGTATGAAATTATTAATTAATGTAAGGTTCTATAGGTGCTGGTTCACTGAGAATAGATAATTAGCTGTGTACTTAACGTATCTGTTAATAATAAAGAAAATGACACCACCAAACCTATTATCGCGCAGTTGTCAAGACATAATCAGTTGACGACATACTGCATACTGCGCATGCCTATAGGCAACGTTCTTGCGTCACAGAATAATAAACCATCAGGATGCCCACTCTGCTTGAAAAAATAAGTACGCGCATCTCGTTCGCGCAGTAGCGCAGTTCGCGCAAATTTCTCAATTCGAGTCTATCTTTCCGTTTAAAATATGGCAATCGCTTGCTGGCAAACTTCAAAGGCGGCATCTGAAAGTGGGCATTCTGATTGTTTATTATTCTGTGCTTGCGTCTTGCAGGTATAATTATTGCAAGCTGTAAAACGGAAAAATATGCTGAAAAAATTTTCCAAATGATTTCTTCATATCAAAACGCATTCTCGATAAAAAATCCTAATGCTCTGCATTTTTACATATTTTTGATTAATAATTAATAATTTTATGTTTTGTAGCAAATAGATTTTGTCTGTTACCATGATAACCCACACACACAATTTTTGACATTTTTCACAAATTTGTTTTTTGAACTCGATTCCCGAGATGAAATTTGGAAGGCTAAATTTTTAATTATGGGATTTAGTGACAAAAGTAAATTTTGACATAAACACAAAGAATCTGACGATATTTTTAATGGGTAATTCTTTAGATGTAATGAAGCTTTTAAAATGTCTCTTTTTATTTTTTAAATAATCCATAATTTCCAGATAAGACAATATATTAGTTTGTATTAGTTTGATATGGGTCGAAGGACAGTCTTAGGAATAGAACATCTACCTTTGTTTCTTGCTTACGAAGCAAATAATAGAAATGCAACGATGTAATATACTACGACAAAGTCAGTAACAAGAACGGCTACAAGGAAGTGGGTAGCTCACAAATCTCTGGAATGGTGGAGGAATTCACCAGGACAAAGACAGGCGAAACAGTTCATTACAGAACATTTGCCAAAATTTACGGCATATCTAATAAGCAAAGACATGAAAACAGTCAAAGCCATAGTAGGTCTTCTAACAGGGCACTGTAAGCTGAATAGGCACTTAAAGCTGATGGTATGATCAGATGATGACATGTGCAGATTCTGTCACCTCGAAGAAGAAACAGCAAAGCACATTTTATGTCAGTGTGACAGTCTGGCAAATGTGCGGGTTTTTGCATTAGGAGAAGAAAATCCACCGGCAAATAGCTACATGGAAGGTACAGTCTGGAAGCTACTAGACTGTATAAAAAACGTCAGGCTAGAGAATGTTATCTAGGGCTAGAGGACCACAATAGATCTGAAAAGGTCGCAGTGGAATAGGCCGAAAGGCCACCTCTCTTATCTAATATTATCTAAATATACTAGGAGTATATTAGGTCGTTGTAGAAATGCCATAAGGCACAAATCACTTCAATATATTTTGGGTTTAATATTTAATACAATTTTCTTTTTCAGAACCGTATGCAAGAGAGTTTGAAACTGTTCGACTCGATCTGTAACAATAAATGGTTCACAGATACCTCCATTATTCTCTTCCTCAACAAAAAAGATCTTTTCGAAGAAAAAATTAGGAAATCGCCTTTAACGATATGCTTTCCTGAATACGCAGGTAATTAATTTTTTTCTTTTTAGTGATATTTACTACTCACTAGATTTTCCTTGAAATTTGAGTAAGTGTCATTGTTTAAAAAATGCAACCTATTTTGGATTTACATTTCAATAACATATTTTAAAAATGTCATTTAATAACTAGAATGTCATGAGTATAAATCATGAAAAAAACAGAAAATTTGGGCTTATTATGTCAATACCAACTCATCTATATATAGACCAACCCATGATACTATGACGTGCTATGACTAACAAGATAGGATCTTCCCGTAGTACAAAATCGGTCGTGTTCGCGCATGGCGTCAAATTACTAGACGAAAATAAGTTAAGAGGTTTAATAATTACAATAATCGTACACATAAGGATATCTCCAAACTATTTATTAAAGCAATGGATATAAAGATTCGTAATGGTAATTTATTTAGAAAACCCTAAAGTACAACAAAGAAAAAACGTATTAAGACTAAACAGTCATCATAGGTTTTAAAATCCTAGTAAAATGCTGAGCACCAAATAATGGGTAGACTTATAACGATATGTAATTTAAAAGGTTTTTACCATTATTTTGGTGCTCAGCATTTTAACCTAGCTTTGTAAAAATAATTAATTGATGTACTGTAATACATTGATTCATTTTATAACCGCTCGTAGAATACTTAATTTTTCCTATCAATAATTCTAATTAGCCATTGTGATAGAACTGTGAGTACACAAATGCAAGTACATGATTTCTATCTCAAACCATTTAGAAAGCCATTCGTAAGTTGAAATTGGATAAGTCATAATACTAATTGTAAACTGAGTTATTCCTAAAATTGTGTATTATAATTTTGAAATTGATATAGGCTCTTAATTTAATCTAAATATTTAATCTCGTATGTTTATGGAATTTCATTTTTTGCATCGACTTTTAATGAGCCAAGATTTGGGCAGCTACTTACATACGATGTAAATGGCACGTATTTTGTCTTATCTACATTGAAGGCTGAAATGGCTTATTAAACTGAAACCTGAAACCATTTCTGAATTGTAGCAAAATCTGTTTCGACTTTTTGTTTTAAATTAATTCATGCATTTGCATCATAGAAAATAGCTTTGTCCTCTGCAAAGCTTATTATCTTACCTGTATATAATAATAATGAATCCAAAGATGCTGGGTTTGATTCCTCAAACACGTAATGGTGATCTAGTGTCGTTTGTTGCAGACTGATGTTATCGTTGCAATGAGTAGGTATCTGTTATATTTCCTCCAATGGTTTAGTTTACAAATGGACCGTGATGCAAACTTTTACTCTACATGTCTTATAATGCAATGACTATTACTCTAAATATGTAGTCTATATTATCTCTTTCAATGATTATTGTGTTGAAATAATGAATTTTCGTTTAAAGAATTTTTATGAACATTTTTTCTCAAAAATTTGGTGTGGAAGTCTAACAGATTTACTTTGTGATATTTTAATTTCTAGTTTTAAGACATCTTTGTTCTAGGTTAAGAAAATTTATTGTAAACTCTAACTCTAAGGCACCTTTTTTGTTTTGATCTCATATGCTCAAAACTTTTCAGCAGTCTTCTTGTGTGTATCATTCGTTTATACCGCCCATAAGCGTACTTAGTGTTCCTGTCGATCCCAACAAATGTTAACATAATTAAAAAATATTAATTAAAAAAAATAACAAAAATAAATAAATAAAAAGAAAAAATAAACAAAACATAAACAAATAATATTTGGCTAATGGGTTCAGTTCCCGCAGTCATCACAAAGAAGGAAAAAAAGACATCTTCGAATTAACTGTCCTTTATTTTCAAATTTGTGCTTAGAATGTTTTCTCTTTGCCAAGTAAGTAACCAATAAAGTTAGTTTTTTAAATCTTAATTTGTTTATACTTATGAATTTCATTATACAGGGTGATTCATTAAAAATGTCTTTGAATTGTAGATTCTGGATCGCAAAACATATTAATTCTGCCCAACATGCCTTATACAAATATGGCTAGTTCCCGACATACAGGGTGTTTAAAGCTGAAATAAGGAATTTAATTTTCGCAATAACTTTTATGTTTCCACAATTTCTATTTGAAAATGCACAATTTTACCATTTTTTTGGCATGAAGTGCTAATTTAGATCTAATTTAGCATTGCTAATAGAGGGCGCTAGTAGCACTTGGTTGTGTTTAGTAAATCAAACCATCTTTTTTGTCGGGTAAACTATAGGTAAATTAATAGAAAAATTTGAAGAAGCGTTAAATTCTACAAAAAAAAGTTACTTTTGTTTGATTCATATAATTCGGTTGGTTATCGAGTTATTTGCTTCTAAGAATTTTTATTTTACAATAAAAATTTGTATTCTAAATGTGTAACAATAACAAATTAAATTAAAAAAACAAAAAACTTTAAAGGTAAACGTTCAAAATATCGACCATTCGCTTTAATATACTTTATGATCCGGTTTCGCAAAGATCTCTTAATATCAAATAACCCTTGCCTATTATTTTTAGTCTCATCCGCGGCTTCTATTTTCTGACTCAATTCTAAAAGAGAATTAATTCTATTTTTGTAAACTAATGCCTTTAATTGCGACCAATTTGAAAAATCCAAATGATTGAAATCAGTACTTCTTGGTGGCCAAGTAAACTCACTTCCACGACCAATTCATCGATACGAAAAGTGTTGATTTAAGTATTGACGAACTTTTAAAGAGTACTGTGGTAACCCAAAGTGCAAAAACCATATGTTCTGCTTTAAGACTAGATATATATCCTCTAGGTGTTCGTGTAAATGTTCTTAAAGAAAATCTAAATACATAGGTCCACTTAAATTGGTTGGCAGTTCGTATTCACGTTTTTCACCACCCCAAACGTTAACTATAAATCGTGCTGAAAATGGGCTTCCCTCGTTGCATGAGAATTTTCAGAATCCAACAAAGGATTATTTTTTCAATTGAATATACCACGTCTGTAATTTTTTTCTTTATCAGTAAAAAGAATTGTATCAAAAAGGAATTTTTATATTTGTTTTTTAATTTGTTATTGTTACACAGTTAGGCAACAAAATTATTTATTGTAAAATAAAAACTCATTAGACTTTTTAGAAGCAAATAAGCCGATAACCGACCGAATTACATGAATCAAACAAGAATAGTTTTTGTAGAGTTTAACGCTTCTTCATATTTTTCTATTATTTTATCCATAGTTTATCGGACAAAAAAATTTGCTTTGATTTACTAAACATCACCAAGTGTAAACAGTGATGTCGTCGAATCTATAGCCAAGCTGAAATGGAATTGGGCAGGTCACATAGCGAGACTGAAAGACACAAGATGGAACACAAAACTAATTAACTGCCACCCACGAGAAGATAAACGCAGCAGAGGACGACCACCAACACGCCGGATGGATGACATTAGACAAATATCCAAGAAAAGAAATACACAACAAGAAACAAGAACCGTGAAGAGTGGCGAAAAATGGGAGAGACCTATGTCCAGCAGTGGACAGAAGAGGTTGCATGATGATGATGACCAAGTGGAACTAGTGCCCCTATTAGTGCACTAAAAAATGTAAAATTGTCTATTTTCAAAAAGAAATTGTAAAAACAAAGTTTTTGCGAAAATTAAAATTTATATTTCAACTTTAAACACCCTGTATCTTAGAAACTATCAATATTTGTATAAGGCATAATGGGCAGAATCATTATATTTTGAAGTTTAGAATCTAAAAGAGATTGTACATTCTTATTGAACCACCCTGTATAAAAAATCAACTTTAAAACTTAAATAAAATTTTGTTGGGTGGACACAAATTTTAATTTTCTGTATCTATTCTAGATAGTACTTACTCTCTAATATTTAATTAATCTCTTTATCTGTGCTTAAGGATTTTTTTTGTTGATGCTGTTGACATTGAGTTAAATTTGCCGGTTAAAATTGGTTATTTTGAGATGATAGTTTCCAGCTTTTGAGCGATCCCATCTTACATCCATTAATTTTCCCATTAGCACAGTGTTGTGCAACAACGGTTGACTGGTTGAGCAAAAATGACATAACACAATTTTCTTCCTAAATTAATGGCTCCAATAAAATTTAATTGCATTCCATTGGCGCCTTCAAAGGCAGATGTTATTTAATCAATTTATTTAGTTGCGACATAATTACCTAGTAAATATCTGTCTTAAGGAAGTAAATTAATTAAAAGAGTGGTATTTCTTTACTAACTCTTAATATTTTTTTCTTGGTTTTATACATTTATTAAAGACAACATTAGAAAAAAATAGGCTACGAAATACTATTCCCTACAAGAGAAATTAGTAAAAAGAAGCCTTTTTCGTGTGACAATCTTTGATACAGGTATCTAACAAATGCTTTTGATAAATTTAGTACATGCAAATAAACAAAATATGCAAAAGATTAAACGTAATTTTTTATTTATAATCAATATATAAAAAGATTGCTATTTGATTTTAAATACTAACAAGCATAGAAAATTCTTTGAAATGAGAAGTTGTAAAGCTTTTTTTGTTAATTTGGTTATTAATTATTGCAGTAATAGCTTTGAAAGTCGATTTTCTGAAAATTATTAATAGCTTTTCTAAAAATTCACAAAAGACTTTAAGTTTACGTGAGAATAGGGACAAAAATTTCAAGAAGTTTCACTTACTAGTTATTGCAAAATGAAAACTGTTTACCCCAGAAATTCGTTTATACACTGTACGTTACATTTTCTTCTAATGTCTTTACTTTTCTTTCGATCTCTCAGCGTAGTTCCTGTAATTCTTCTCAGTACTCTCATCTCTGCCGTTTCTAGTAGCCTTTGCTTTGTGGCTGTGTCGGGTCTTCTTTCTGAGGCATAAGTCATTATTGATCTGATAAACCTGTGAGATACATACTTCAAACCTAGTGTTCACTTGAATATCTTAGAGTAGAGAAATATTCAGCGAGTGCAATAGCAAAAAGTGACCACCGATAAGAACAAGTAAAAATTCAGGTATTAAAATTCTAG